AATATACTAATATAATTGGGAACAAAGATAGGAAAAATAAGGAAAGGGGTGGGGGGGGGGGCATTAGGACAGTAATGGGACTAGAGATCTAGTTGTGAGCAAAAGAGTTTCTAAAGTCTGGCAATATTTAGGGATGGTAGTAGAAATGTTGTAAGACTTTTAAGACCAGAATCTAGAGTCACTGTAACCAGGCATTCAATTAGATACCTAAGTAAAATGAACATTTGGCCAGGATGTTGAATGAGCCCATCTGTAATGATTGGAAATTGAATAACTATGGGTAGGCCTGGGTTATGTTACATTTTCTTTTATGATTTTTTTTGGGGGGGCGGGCTTGGTTTTGCTTCTGGTTTTAATTCTATGTTGTCTGGGCAGAGTCATAATTTGTAAGTTGGGGAGCCATATCTATTGAATGAAACAACAAAACAAACAATAATAAAATGTATATTGGAGTCCCTGGTAGTGATGCACTTGGACAGAATGGTAGTATGTATGTATGTATGTATGTATGTATGTATGTATGTATGTATGTATTATAATTTAAATCTAGAAAGGTCACCCACTCAGCACAGCCTCTGAGTGGTGCACAATTAAAACTAATACAATACCTAAAACCAGGGGAGAAAATAATATCATTACATAGAACAAATATAACCGGGGGACCACGTATAACCAAGACAAATCTACACACCAAGTGGACACAACACCAGTCTATCACAGAGCTTGGGAGGAAAGTCAAATTTTTAAAGATCATCTAAACATGTGTAGTGTTGGGGCAATCCAAATCCTGGCAGGAAATGTCTTTCCAGAAGGTAGGTGCTGCAGCAGAGAAGGCAGGCTTCCTAGCTAAAGTTGTTTATGAAAGGGGACACAAATCTGCCAAGTTTTTTTTTTTTTTGGTTAGTTTTTAATGTTTTTAGGATCAGTCATTCTTTCCTGAGGTGGTTCTGTGTCCATTTGAACAGAGGTGTAATACATTTTCTTGCTTCTCATCAATTGATCCAGTTGTTTTAAGTGATGCTGTAAAGTTCGAAAGAATTCTGGTGGTTGGCATTTTCTGTGTTATAGTTTACTCCTTTCTGGAGAATGCTGTGTTCTGAGATAGTTATGGGATGCTGGAGATATTTACCCCCCATTCTAGTTCAATTTCATGTTTTCTTATTGGGTTAGCTTCAGCAATTTGGTTTTCAGTTTTGTTTTTTCTTTTTTCAGATTGTTTTCGTGTGCCAGTTTTGATGGTAGTTGTTAATGTTTTTATAGGTTCTATAATCATGGCTTGTTTTAATTTCTGCTTTAAGTTATTGATAATGTGCTGGTATTTATGCAATATACAGTGACCATCTGCTCTCACCTGATGTACTATTTTTTGGTCTGTTTGTTGGGAAGTCTGTGTCTTATGCTAGTAGGCAGGACCTGCTAACATAGGCATTCATTCAGAAAAAAAGAGTTGATAAATACAATTTTGATTGTAATATGTACAACTTATGTTTTGATTGCCAGGCATAGTTTGATTGATTATAAAATTTCAGGAACACCAAGCTGATGCCAGTAACTGTGCAAAGATTCTAGTGGAATTGATAGGTGGTCCGATATACATCTTTCTGCTTTGGAGTCCTTGGGGTTCTCTGAGCTTGGTTCTTTTCTTGCAAACGTTTCATTACCTGGCTAGGTAACATCTTCAGTGCTAAAATGGGATGGGGTTTGCTCTCTATTTATGTGCTGTGGCCTGCCTTGCCAGTGCAGGTAAGGGTGGGGGTTTTGTTTGGGTCCTCTGATAGTTCTTTGATTGGCATATGTTTGCTGCTGGATTGTGTGCCTGGTGGTAACCTCTGCTTATCTCGGTGATGATTGCTGGTGATGATTGCTGGTGATGATTGCTGGTGATTGATTGCTGGTAAGGCGATCTTCTGG